AGAAACATTGAAAGTTCATGAAACATCCTTGGAAACCTGGAATTTTTAGGGAATTTCTCTCTAAAACCTTGAAATTCTTTCTTTCAGCCGAAAAATTTCATTATCATCAAGCATTTATATGCCGCGTCGACGAGAATTAGGATATCTGCCTCTGAGCGCTCAAATTTTAGATTTTTCAGTTTCGAGAGACTGCGCTAATCCCCCCCCCCCTTTGTGTGTGGAAAGCATCTTGATGAAGAATTTTGGCTAAAAATGCAAAGAAACTTCTTGAAAAGTCAGGGAATTTTGAAATCCAAAAATCCTGTGGATCTGTTGAAAAGTCGTTGATAAAGCAGGGAATCTTACGTTCAAAAACGCTGCAAAGCAGCGGAAAATTTAAGAAATTTTGTATTGCAAGAAAAATTCTCACCCTGTAAACAAATCATCCTGCTACAGAGTTGGCGCGCAATGGTCATTTTCTTTACTCTGCACGGAAAAAAAAAATTGCTGATTCAACAATTCAATTCCTAAAAACAGTGAGTCCAATGTTTCAACGCAGATTTTACAACAAAAAAATGCTACTTTAACCACCCCCGTGGTTAAATTAGTTTACAATGTGTTTAAAGTAGCATTTTTTTGTCGTAAAATCTGCGTTGAAACATTGCACTCACTGTTTTTAGCAATTTAATCGTTGAGTCAGCAATTTTTTTTTTTCCGTGTGGCACAGCATTTCAGCCTATCCAAGAAGCGCGATCAAGTGGGAAAATGCCGTCGTGTGTCTTGTTGACTGTTGAGCAAGGAGAATCGAGTGGCCAACCGGCGAAGCGTCGCCGGTTGCATATTTGTATTCGTCCGAGTCGCGGCATGCGTTTCGGTGGCTCGCTCGTCAGCCCCCCCCCCCCCCCCCNGGTTCGTCCCCCCAGGGTGGGGGGAGCTGAGGTGAAGTTGGGTGTGTCGTCTTATGCCCAGCTTGACTTGGCGAGTCCCAAGCACAACCTTTTCCGAATCCGGGCGGATGTGTGCGCCCCGGCGTAGCTGGACGTCGTCGAACGTTGACTGGACCCCGCGGGTCGTGCCCGAGCGCCGCTACCGGTTCGGGCGACGACGCGACGTCCGCGCTGCACAGTGGGATTCCAGCCTCCGATAGCCTCAGGGTGCCTACAAGTCCAGAAATTCCGGAAATAGTATTGCAGGGTGTCTACAAGTCTGGAATTTCCGGAAAGTTCGAAAATAGTAATGATTTTTCAAGGGCGGTCCAGGAATACTGAAAAAATCCTGAAATTGCGGAATTTTACTCTTTTTCTGTCATTTTTATTGCAATTTGAGCGAGAAATTCAAATTTTTACAATTTTTCGAATTTCGTCAAATGGAAGTACAC